CTTCATCTTAAAAAACAATATTGCTTATTTGAATATTTCTGCAATAACAAAATTATTTGCTATGATCTATAGTAACAATATAGTTATATTTGCATATATGGAAGTTAGTATTTATTAAATAGATATAATAGTAGTTAACATTGTTACATCTTGACAAAATTAATATTAAAAATAAGTAAAATTTTGTCTGATTCACTGTCCATAACTCTCCTTTAGTCCTTTTCATTTATGGGGTAGATGCCATCAAAGGAATAGATACTTGATAGGCTGCATCCTTGCCTTGTTTTTTTTTTTTTTTTTTTTTTTTTTTGGTTAGTTTTGGCCAACGACAGTGAAACATGAAACACAGAAAGAGATTTGAGTACTCAATCTTTTCAGTTTTTTTCCCTGCTTGGTTGTGGGGTAAAAGCTGCTATGCTTCTCTGTGAATGCAACCATTGATGTGTGACATTAAGTTAGGTGGCTGTTTCCTACAGGGGTAGATCCCATTTTTCTCTAGTAGTTCTTGTTTACATTTACCCTTAGGCTGAAGAGTGATAATACACCTTACCAGCTGTGGGTGCTTAGCCATCACACTTTGGGATCCAGTCCGTTTGGGAGCCGCACTTTTTTAAGTGACCCTTTCATCCCCCTAGGTCTGTTGGGAAATTCGAACACATTAACAGACTTGATTAACTTATGAATAGAGATTATTTTGTTCCTCTCAATCCAGTTACTGGATTCACATAAGTAGATTAATCAACATCAGATATTTAAACAAACACATCAGGCAAGAGTGTATTTGGAAGAAAACTGGTCATATGATAAATTGTCCTAACCACTCAATTTTCTCAAATTCTTGAAATTACTGTGGAAGAGACATTCATGATAGAGACTAGACAAGTCAAGACTATAAATATGACAAAGCACAATTGGACAATTTTCTGGATATAAAACTGCAGTTGGGCAAGAGGCATGGACTCTGTGATGTCTTGAGGTCTACTGAGAGCATGATAAATATGGTTGATAACATATGCTATACTTTAAAAGTTGTGAGATAGTATACTTTAAGTGTTCTCAAAACAAAAATGAATATGTGTGACACAACATGTTAATTGGTTTAATTTAGCCATGCCATTGTGAACATACTGTATTATGTATCATAATTGTGCATGACTTTATTTAGAGCTAAATGAATGAATGGAAAAAAAAAGCATCAGGTCTCAAGTGTACAACTGAACTGCACAAATACAACATCCATAGCCCTACCCTGTGGCAGGAATAAAGATATTGCTGTTTTTTTTTCTCACTTTATCCAATCTGTCAGAAAATAAGATGTATTTAATTCAAACAGACAAGAGTTAGGACAGGTTCTGTAATGAAGTGGACACAGGTTCAACTATATATTCGAATCACAGCCAGGATTAGAGTTCAAACTTAACCTCTTACATCTCAAGATGGTAACAAGCAAATGTGTTAGTCATCTCTTGGTTACGCTGAAAAAGCCTGAGAAGTCAATTTTAACGAACACTGCTATAAGGAAAACGAGTGGTCTGTGTATTTCACCAAACTGCAACTTTGTCGGGATGCATTACAAAAGGAGCAAAAGTTGCCATGCCTGGGAAAAAGCAAGCTGATTATTCAGTGGCTTGAGTACACGGGCTTCTCT